TATTTTGCCCATTATTCTCTATTCTTTATTTAATTTGCCCATCATTCTCCATTCTTTATATTTCAGCACCCCATTATTCTCTATTCTGTAAACCTCACCCTGACCCTAATGTTTGGCCAAACAGGTATGCATTACGTAACTATGTGTCTGTAACAATTACATGCATATATTCCAACCTCACCTGTGTACTCGGCAGGTGATCATGGATGTACACAGATTTGAAACATGGGACGTAATATTGCGTATTATCTATGTCTTATCTATCACCACCTGGGGCATGACACCTGTAGCTTTCAACTTCAAAGGAAACCCAGCATTGCGGAGACAAGTGTACCACACACATGTAACGGTAGGACAGCCGAGATTCCTCATCACATCTGGGTCACGATCGTAACATGCATTAAAAAAAATGGGCGGAACAAAGTTTATGATTTGTGCTTGGTAGGAAGTCCCATCTCTTACATTAGTGTGTCTACGCCTTCTTAGTCTGCTGGTTAATGGGAAAACGGAAAAAAACTTAATACACCGTCCTTCTTATGTCTATTGTTGCATCCACTGGCAGCACACAGAACCATTTTTAATCACTGTCAAGCGTTTTGTTGGTAGATATTCGAAAATAAAATTGCGCTAATATGCCTATACACCCGTCTGTCAATATGACTGATGAGAACCATTGACGTCACAGCCTCGTTCTGAGTGACTTCCGGGATTGAAATATGCATATTGAGCAGGTCGATAGATCGATACATTTAAATACATATTTGAACCATTTAATTGACACTTATACTGCTATGGATGTTTTTTGGGGGTATTTATGAATAAATAAACATTTATGGTAAAAAAAAAAAAAAAAAAAAAATCGTGTCACATCTCCTTTAATTGAACATGCCACCTTTATGATACACCCCATATCTCATTGATTTCAAATGAATAGAATTTTTACTATTGAAAACAGGTATTTGGGATATACGTCAATGATAGATGAAAATCAAAATCTATATTTATGTAGAAAATTAGTCAATGATATTATAAAATAATACGCGTCCGTTTTGATATCGGCGGCTGTACATTGGAGTTGATTACATTTAGTAACTTAAATGTACAAGTAAAAAAGTATAACAAAAATACCGAACTCCAAGGCAAATTAAAAAATGGGGAAGTCCATACAACGCGACCTTGTGCCTAGACATTTAGCCTTACTAAATTTGTAAAAGAGTTCTTTGCAGAAAAAAAAATCAACATTTAGTCTTTTTCATTCGATCTACGAATACATGATTTGATGTCAACCCCTCCCTCTCTGAAAAATACAAAACAGACGAAAGATAAAACAATATTAGAATAATTACAGGCTTTATCAACTATTTGGACAAAACGAAACAAGACTTAATGGACAATCCTCAATTTATTGTAAAAAAGAATATTATATTTGAAGGGTTATGTGTTAAACACCAAATTGTATTAAATTCCTGGAAGGGAACTCATACTTTTAACATAGTAAGTTTTATTTCTTTAAACAGATAGAAAATACCAAGTGGCAATAAAAAATCAAACGTCAACTAAAACAGAAATTACCATGAGAAAAAGTCAAAAAGACAATAGACAGACAACAATAGCAAAGCATGAAACAGATGATTAAAGAATTAGCTACACGGTAAGTATTTGAATCGATCACAAAATGTATTTGCACCTGATTTATCACAAGTTTAAATAAATCAAAACTTGTCAGTAAAACAGACATATTTGTAGATGAGCATTTACTGAATGCAGATATTAAACGAAAAAGTTTATTGTGTACGTTAAGATGGATGTCTCTGAATGGATGGCTGTGTAACGTCAAAAAACAAATAAAATGCATATTCAGGACGAGAATGTGATAATATGAAATTAATATAACCCCTGCTTTGTACAAGACCAACACGCTGAGCCGGATTTTTAATGTGCTAGTTCAAAAGGTAATAGTCCGCATGAAGACATGTCACCATACCCGAAAGCATTATTCTGAGTCTGAGCCGACCAGTCTTTGCCCTTACTCCTAAATGACGCGTGCTTAGCGGAGAAGCAGCAAATACCAATTTTCTAATCTTCCGTTTGACCTGACCTGGATTCGAACCAACGACCTCCCTCACACGAGGCGAGCACGCTACCACGAGACCACCAAGGCGTCTGTGTACGTTAAGAAGCGAAATAAAAGAGGGATTCTTAAAGTGTCCGGAAGCATATTTCAGTTCAGTATCTGTTGAAAATAGTTCATATACATCATCTAGCAATGACAGATATGAAACATTCTGGAACCTGTAAAATCAGTTTTGAGCACTTACGTCAAACAGCAACATTTATGCCTGTTTTGTGATCTGTTTCAAACACAATGCGGTTTTTAGACGCACACTTTATATATATGTCTGCAATGCTCTTCAACTTTATACTTGTTTGGCTTTCTAACTTTTTTGATTTGAGCGTCACTGATGAGTCTTATGTAGACGAAACGAGCGTCTGGCGTAACAAATTATATGCCTGGTACCTTTGATAACTAATTATAAAGCGTTATTTTCAGAATATTTGTCTTTCAGTTTTTCGTAAAATAATATCTTATATTTCTTTCGGACTTTTATTCAGTTTCAAGTTAACACATCAATTATCTCTATAAAAATGTGTTTAATTCAAACATAAGACTCGAAATGTTTAATACAATAATCAATTTCTTCAGAAAATTCACAACCTCGTAATCTTGTAGAACATTATGGTTATTGTATTCTTCTGAATGGCTTGTCTATATGCAAGAATAGCTTATGATGACAAAAACCTCTGATAATTATAGTTTCTTTGTACTTATGGTAAATTGATCAAATTCTTATAAGATGAACCTTCACTCTTTACAAATGGATCAAAAACAACATTGCATTATCTGATTTTCAACAACCTCGGTCTTCTATACATTTAAAAAAGGACCACCTTAAAATTTTAAACTTATTCTTGACTTTTTGACAGATAAAAACTACAAAGTGCAATAAACAATTTTCTTTTCTTGATATGCAAACAAACACGATTTATCTTTCAAACCAAATAATTTTAGAAAACGCCCAACACGTGACATCATTTTAGGTGAAATGATCCGTACGAATTTAGTTGTGAGGTGTATATGCTGGTTTAGACTTTTAACACATTTATATCGCTCAATAAATCAACCATTTTAAAAGCAGGAAATAAGTACTGAAGTGATAAGAGAAAAATCAATACAATAATTACCGGTAGTGTAAAAATAAATTGGTGAGTTATAAAGTAAATATGATTAAAATAAGTCGTAAGGGGTAGTTTTGTCGATCTATAAACATGTGAGTTAATTCTTTTCCTCTTTTATAATTGATATCAAAGATTGAGTCAGTTGATATCAGCATACAAAATATGAAATCACACAATAGATAAAACAAACAGAGATCGTTTAGACGAAATCCCAAACGTTGGAAATGTGTTCAGTCATTGTAAATATTTCAGAATTTTTGCCTAATATACCGTTACACTAATTTTTCTTAGATTGGAAACTGCTGCTGTAGATAAAAAATATCAAAAATATTATTGAGAAAATATGACTACTATTTTTACATACTTCCCATGCTGTAATGGGTCAAAATCGAGAATATCTGTTTTCAAAACTCTATGTCGGGACTTTTTATAGCTTTCCATACGTTGTGGGTTTCTACTCATTGGTAAAGGCCACAAGGTGACCTATAGTTGCTAACATAAATGTCACTTGGTCTCTGGTGGATATTTATCTTATTGGCAATCATAAAACATCGCCTTATATTTATATCGAATGTACTACCTAGTACTAGTTGATCTAACATCATAAAAGGTAGAAATACGATGACCAGATGTGAAAACTATAAGTACATTTGTACGTGAATATAAAAATTGGGAAACAATTCCATTATTAACTTTATTTTGAACTTAGTGTGTCTCAATTTCTTTTGTTTATGCCAACAAATTGGTATCAATACCTATTGGAACTGTTGGGGACCTTCCCTCCCCTTCTTAGATAGTTATCCATGATGAGTTTATCTAAAAAGAATATTAATTATATCGTTGTTGTCTGTTTTTCAAATTCATACTTTCCAAACAATATTATACTGGGTCAACTATTTTTTTATTCAACTTACCCTTACTCTTTTGATTCGAGCTCCATTGATGAGTCTTATGTAGACGAAACGCGCATCCAGCATACACAATTATAAGCCTGGTATCTTTAATGAGTTTTTCAGAAATATTTTGAGAAACTTACCTCGAGTATGTCTTTCTCTTAATGGTAATCTAAATACACCACAATTCATAATGCTCAATAAATTTATGAAGTAACAAAGATCATTAGTTTCAATTTACAATAAATGTTTAGATTAAAATACAATTTGATTAATTGAATGTTGTTTGCTTTACAACAATAGCAATCATTTCACGAATTTAAGGACGGAAAAATATACTTTGAGTGTCAACAACTGTTAATGTTAAATAAAATGCTTGAATAAAATACTCTTCAAGCTTCAACAACTCTTAATACTCCATCCGTGTATGTACAGTAAGATACAGCCTAATTTGTCAGTATTTTTGTTTTACTTCGTTAAAACCTATGACACCAACTGAAATGCAAATCGACTCTATGGATGGTAGATTGGTAGATATCCTGCAAATAGAAATTTCTAAATGTTACAGTATTTTACTATTTTGAAAGTCCAAACTTTGTTAAATAGAAAGCTGATTTGTTTAGATAAATAAAAAAAACTTTATTGAAAGCTAATATTACAATTTAATGTTATAAATAATATATGCATATATAATTAATTTGTAGTGTGTGCAAAAAACCTTATTAAAAGAATACTGCCCAACTGTTTAAATAAGCAGTTCACTCAGACCTCAAATTTGAAACTGACTATATATTTTCTGCAACCGTTATCATTACAAAATCAGTCCGTACACTATAATCTAGTATGTGTGTACACAAATGTAACAGTAAATGTAAATGTAAAATGTAAAAGTAGACCAATATGGCTTTCTATATGACGATCAGGATTTTAATTAATTATGATACTATAAAAGGATATATATGAAGTTAGAACATCTGAATAAGGTAAGTATGGTCATGATGGTGTAGCTATTAAATATCATAACAACAACTGTGCTTAAGTGTCAAAAAGTATTACTTAGTTTCGCAAAATTGCATCTAATGAAATAAGTGAATGACATTTTGACTAATAAAATTACGATCTGTTATGTTTGCAGAACGTACATACAGAGCGAAAAAACCAGAACATATTCTCGAGATAACGAAAAAACAGATGAATATGTATTCTGAAATCATTTTTATAGTAACCAGTAACAGTTTCTATTGACGGGAGCCAGATAAAAAGCTTTCTAGATACCCTATTTTGTGATTTTTTTGTGGTTTCATAGAAACGAAAGGACTAAATTACAAAAAGATCTCTTCTTTTATCCATTGTCCTTCAAAAATTCATATCGATTCATCCATTACCATTCATTTATTTTTTTATACATTTATCAATGCGTTCAAACATGTATGCAAATTTCCATTCCTTCTTATAGTATAGCGAGTTATCATCTGTTTAAGTTAAAAACAGTATGCAATAAAACATTAAGATTTGTCGTTTCTTTTATTTTGGTGGATTCAATATTTCAAGATCATTATTTTTGACGACGCAAAACTGTATGCAAGTCATATATTGTCGAATGAAATGCTCGATCCTGTATAAATAAAGAACTTTAAAAAACGCACTAGTTTTATTTATGTACAAAGGGAACAGTGCATTAACATGCATTATGCGTTAGCTCAACAAAATACCAGACTTCTAATTCGGTACGCCAGACGCAAATTTCGTCTACATAAGACTCATCAGTGGTGTTCTATTTAAAACAGTTTAGTTTAAGTACTTATGATGAGTCAGTAAACATATATGTGTCAGTTAGTATCATAAATTTTAAATGATCTTATAAAATGATTTAAAGGGGCATTAACTACGAGATATGAAAAAAAATAAAATTTTTTTTTTTTGTTCAATCATTAAAGGAGATGTGACACGATTTAATTTCTTTACCATAAATGTTTATTTATACATAAATACCCACAAAAACATCGATAGTAGTATAAGTGTCAATTAAATGGTTAAAGTATGTATTTAAATGTATCGATCTATCGACTTGCTCAGTATTTCAATCCCGGAAGTCCCTCAGAACGAGGCTGTAACGTCAATGATTATCATCAGTCATATTGACAAACGGATGTATAGGCATATTAGCACAATTCCATTTTCGGATATCTACAACAAAACGCATAAAAATGGTTCTGTGTGCTGCCAGTGGATGCAACAATAGACATAAGAAGGACAGTGAATTAATTTTTTTCCGTTTTCCGATTAACCCGCAGACCAAGAAGGCGTGGACACACTATTGTAAGAGATGGGACTTCCTACCAAGCACAAATCATAGACTTTGTTTCACCCATTTTTCTAATGCATGTTATGATTGTGACCCAGATGTGACGAGGAATCTCGGCTGTCCTACCGTTACAGGTGTGCTGTACACTTGACTCCGCAATTCTGGGTTTCCTTTGAAGTTGAAAGCTACAGGTGTCATGCCCCAGGTGGTGATAGATAAGACATAGGTAATGTGCAATATTACGTCACATGCTCCGAATCTGTGTACATCCATGATCACCTACCGAGAGCACAGGTGGTTATTTCGTCACTGGATTACACTTGCACGGGTTAAAAAGTTGCAACCATGCTAGGACGTTTGTTGTAATAAAATAGCTAATATCTTTTTTCAAAGAATACTTTAATTATCAAAAAACTGTATTCAAAATTTTACATTATTTAATTTTCGGACGAAAATACTAGAAATTAATTAAAAAAGCAAAAGAAACTTTACGCATTCACAACGTTTTATTTATTAAAGATGTGCTTTTTGGCATGATGTTGATAAATCTTAAATGTACCGATGTATGGCTGCCACATTGCTTACCATTGATGTGCATATATATTGTTGGAATTTATTTTGTCGATTTTTGGCTTAAAAAAGCGAAAATTAATTCCTTCTTTATTACTCACTCTAAAGTATCTCTTTTGATCAATCTATCTTCATACTAAACAAAACAAAATAATTACATAGTGAACTTATCCAACTATTGATAGAAAAATGAAAATGGATAGATTTAAAAAATGCTTTCTGAGATACTGAAAAATGAGAACATATCAAATATATGAAAATAAAAGTTGTTTGTAACTGATCCTTTAGTGACATAAGTCATGTTGCTCACGGTTAGTGCTAATTAGGGGTAGAGGAAAAGAGAATTTGTTTTTTCTAAAACAGACTACCAACTCATGATGTCTGTAAAACTTTTGGAAGGGAAGACTTTACTTGTTTGAACCCTTGGTTTAATAGCTTCCTTGTAAGCAACAAGCATGTATCAGGGAAATCATGATAGAAACGCAAGCTATGAACTGTCGAATCAAGAGGAACATAATGTTTATATACTTCATAATAGATTGTGTTGATGGGATCTGCTACATAGAAACTGAAAGTTTACAATTGTGAAGCGAAAATCGTTCCTTTTGTCGTAAAGTTTTGTTCTCATCGACCATCATTGTCAATTTCTTTCTGTTGTATCCTTAATTTCAAATTTAAAGATATATAAGTTTAACATAGTCTCCAAACTTTGAATTATTTAGTAAGAGGACATAATCTGTATAGCGGAACCCGAAGTTACAAGATAATGCTAGTTTCGTTTATTCTTCATGAGAAGCTCTCGTTTGAAGTTTCTGCCTTATATGAAAAAAGAAACAAGTCGGTAAAAAGAGAAGCACATATGGTTCCCGGGTGAGTCGACAGGGTAAGCGTCTTCTGCTTTGCATGCATCACCCATCATGCGAATTCACACTGAGTCAAAATGTCAAAATCTGGAATAGAACACAATCGGTAACATTACAGATCAGACGACTTTATGATATCTTAAGATTTACGACCGTGAGAACTTGTCGGTAATGAGTTAAGACACCGGCACATCGTATCAGTTAACCATTCGATGTCCGGCTTTGCTGAACAAATGCATGTTAATAGTTTGGAAAGAGTTTTCTTTAAGCACTTGACAGACCTAATAAAAGTTGCTTGTTAGGTTACTTATATAATTTTAGTATACAGTATAGTGAATGAAGATCCAGTTATTCATGTTTTTTTTAAGTTACAAAGGATCATAAAAAGACCTGTTCATAATTTTCTCTTTATAAGGATCTTGGGAATGTACACCGAGTGTCCAATTGACATAACTTGCCAATACCTTATTCTGTTTTAATCAGCTTATGTAATCTAATATACACACAAACATGAAATTGTACGGGGCTTTATCTGACTATAGCATATTTGTAATGGCGCAAGGTCAGGGGCTTAGGAACATTTCAGAATTCGGAAATAGCACGAGGCTTCATGACCCGTTGTTTTATTTACTGACATTTCTTATTCCTTTTTAAATACGTATTTTATAGGTTACTTCTTAGTAATGGATACACAAACGGAAAATTTATTGGACAGGTTACGACAATTTTATGAAAAAATAGTAATGAACATTATTCATGTTTATTTTGAACGAGAAATTTTAGATAAGACCACCAGTTTTTACTTCTTTCTCCATAAGAATAAACATAAACTATTTCATGAGTACATTCCAACGGTTCCTTGTTGTCAATGTCAGACAGGGTCACAATATAAATCAACATCAAAAACTGGATGTTTGAGAGAATCCCAGTTTACCGTTTTGTATAAATGTACGACTGAGGATGAATCATGTCAAGAAAAGAAAGATGGAACCAGAAGGAAAGAACATTGCATATGCAAATTTGATCCGAAAGACGTCAAGGTATTTCAATTGGATATAATACTTGTATCAGCCATTATCAATACATGCTGTCCACAGCCACTACCTGCCAATCCTAAATGGATTCAGAAGATAAAAGAAGTGAGAAATTTCTTAGATCATCATGGAGATGCTAGTTGTCTTTCTAAAGCTGATTTTGACGATAAATGGCAAATACTGGAGAAATATTCACTATTAGTGGCAAATACTACTGGGGAATCATACATGTTAGGAATAAAAAACAGAATTCTGAGTTTAAAAAAAGAAAATGACGTTAGTTTTAGTTTGAAAGAGGTATGTATTTAAACAATAAGCTGAATATGGTCTTGAAAGTTTGATATTTTGTTAGATATTTCCCATTACCTGTCGTTTTTAATTCCAACTACAAACAATAAAACAATAAATTGACCATAAATGTCCGCATTATCCATGTTATCATTTTAACTATATACTAAAAGCATACTTCAAACTATACAAAAGAAAATTCGAAATCAATTCAAAAACTTTGTAAAACATTCAGATGAAAACAACCTCACGTTGCAATGAGGTAAAAGGGCATATTGAAAGCTGTGTTGCAGTATACTTTTCCTTTACTTACCGACAATTAAAGAAACAAATGTGGTTTTACACGTATCTGTACATTTTTTAAGTTCTTTGGTGTGAAACTTGAAGTCTTCAAGAAATGATTTTTCATTTAAAATTGCACCTTTACAAAAGCTCAATATGTAAAGGGTAATTACATCATGCATTCCAACTTTTTTTGTAAAACTGCTGACACTTTGTCATGGAAAACAAATTTTTGCAAAGAGTTTAGCGCTAACTAGGGTATTGACGTTATCAATATCACCAACGTTCTTCTCAAACGTTTTACCTAGTATTATCCCAGAATAAAGGTTAAGGATGTAGTCAGGTCAGGTTTAGGATTTTTTTTCAGATGTTCGGACTCCTTGGTTTTTTTCCTACGATACAGGGTAATGTAAAGGGTAATATTGGTAAACGTTTTGCCCCTTATCACCCACTTTTCTTTTCTTAGAAGACTTGAATACCGTAGCTCATAAAAAAGGTCATTTCCAAAATTTAAGCAGATTCTAGATTTTTTATTACGATTTGAGACCAAAATAATGCCAATGCTAAATATAAGATAAAAGTCCAAGTCAGCCTTTTCCCGCCATTTAAAAAAAATCAAATATCTAAAAAAAGGAGTTTCATAACCTATATTATTAGCTTATTTTGTTCCTTAGCTAATGCTCCTCTGACTTATTGTATCAATTTTAAATTCTATTATTTTTTCTAATTTCACCAACGTACATCCTTTACAAGGTAAACTTTTGTAAACATTTGGGTAATTTTAAAAAGTTCAACTGAACCATTCCAAGTTCAGATTTCACTGATTATAAACGTTATCTAGCATGTCCTTAATTGAACTTAGTTTATTTTTCAAATATGTATTGTACCTTACATGTTGATGCCTATATTTTGACCACATACATACTGGCCCTTGTGAAGTCATAGATGTCCCTGCTTCTTTGAAAACAATCATTTATTCTTTATTTTGGATAACACAATTTTAGGTAGATTCACCACATATACAATAAGGAGATGTGGTACGATTGCTAATTAGACAACTATCCAGTATAGTAAAAATCACGTCGAATTAAGTAACTATGGGTAACCGTCTAAACTTCAAACGAGCAAATTCTATACCATAAAGTCCGCATTTAGACCCCAACATGACAAAATGTAAAACAATTTAACGAAAAAAACAACGGCCTGATTTGAGTGTGTTTCAGGACATTTCACTTTAGGATTATATACATAACAATTCTCTAACATTCGAACAAATTTTTCAACATGTTCAATATGTAGTCGAATGCGGCCTTTAAATATCTTGTGAAGTAGAATTACGTATCAGAGGTTTCAATATACAAGTGTTTATTCAATATGCCAAGCCTTAAGGATGTTCGCTACTCTTTTTCAAAATAACAAGCTTTTTAAAAGACTGTTATAAATTGATAGTATATAAACAAAGGAATTAAAAAAGCAGAAAAAAATTAAGGGTCCATGTGCTTGTTTTCGAGATATAAGCCATTGAAAATTTGGCGGGATATAATTCTCACAAGACTTTTCATACATTTAACATTGGCACTCTTTTTCTTTTACAAAATATGAAAAAAAACAAGGATTTTATAGGATTTTCAAATATGGCTTTTTATAATATGTGTAATAAAATTATGAAAAGAAAAGTAGAGGTTAACGGGCAAAATATTTTAAGGCATTCAAATGGATAAAATCAGAGGATTCCGAAAATCTGACAAAAATTCCAAAACATGACAAGCGAACATCCTTAAATCGCCCCGAGTCTCAAAAACTGTGAATGAATTTGACAGACTATCAACGATCTGCAATCAAAGCCAAATTGTCAATAAGAAATAAAATAAAACAGCCATTGACGAGGTTTCTGACAATCGACAGTAACATCAACATGTGGAGGGTGTATTCACATTTATTCAGATCTCAGCCGTTTCATGTTACATTTCAATAAGTGGAGTTATGGAGGAATATTCGTGGTAAAGAAATAAAAGTAAGTCCAGGAACAGCAAATATCCCTCAAACAACTGTATAGAAAGTAACGAAAATTATAGTACAAACAAAATACTGATCAACTTTAACAAAGCAAAAAATTTGCAGTTGCTGAATGGAAGATAAAAACACTTAAAATGTAAATAATTACATTAGATGTATGATTCATTATTATACGTTATTTTGATAGGCTAACAGCAATCTCGCGTTATTCTTCATTTCAAAAATGAATTGCATGAATTGAAACATACATGATGACACACGTTTCCACAATAAAATGCACAGGTAAATAAAAGAAAAACTTGATAGTAATCGTGTTAATTCGTGATCATAGCGAAAAAATGTAATTATAAGTATTGAATGCTTCTATTGGTAATTGCATAGGGTTGTAAAACGTTGACCGTGCGTACATTTTTAGAATGAAGCGCTTCCGCGCTTCATACAAAATGTACATCGGTCAACGCTTTTACACCCCAATGAATTTACAAAAAGAAGCATTCAATTCTCAAATACAAAATTATGGCGACTTTTACTCTTATATCCCTTATTGTACTACAAATTCGATATCATACAGCAACCATAAAATGTACAAGAATAGTTTATAAATGCAATACTAAGAACAAACAAGCTTAATGTTATCAAATCAGTAAATACCGGGGCAATGATGGAACGAATAAAACATAGATATAATCCTAACGAAATAGAATTTTAATTTGCCTACCCTTCCGGGAAACCTGCGATCACCCCTAGTTTTCTATGTTGTATTTCGTATACTGTTATTTGTTTTTTTTGTCGTCTTCTTTTCTGTCATGCCGTTGTCATTCTGTTTTCGACTTATGAGTTTGAATGTCCCTGTGATATCTTTGCAGCTTTATAATCACTTTAATCACATGACATACTATCGAAATAAATCGCTTTGTTAGTTATAAAATTATCAGTTTTCCAAATTAATGATATCTGTTCTCTCTCTGCCCAGCGTTTTATTAATGAATATATAACGTCCGTTAAAAACTAGGACTTCCTTTCAAACACACTCATCGAAACAAGTATGAAATGTACTTCTCGTAGAAGGTGTTGTGTACACGTTAATAAGAAGTGTTTATTAAGATCTTCATTTGTTTTCGGTTGGGGTCATTGTACTTGTTGTTGTTGTTTGATTATGTGTATGTTTGTTTGTTTGTTTGTGTAATATTTTTGTTTTATGTTGTGTATTTATTCTACTCAAACTTCATGTTTCACTCTGTCGTTGTTTTCTATTTTTGATAAATTTTCAAATAAATCGATAATATTGAACGGTTGTGTTGGTTGTACTTCACAACTAAAATATATCTGTTTTCCAGGAGATTATGAATAAGCTTAGGAATCACACAGCAGTTTCAGAAGACACCATTGGACAAATCAGCATCCAACTAGGTATTTAAAAAAATATACAATAAATTTTCACAGTCGGACAGTTTTTTATACTGTTTTTTTTAATGGAAAACCAAACTGACATTAGATGGGAATCATGTTTATAAGAAAATGTAACCGAAAAACTCACTTGCTATAGAATATTGTAGTAAAAAGATATATATCAATACGCAACATTAAGATCTGAATTTGTGGCTGGTCTGTTATGATCATATTGCTCACCATTCATTTAAGAATACTATTGTATATCTTTTTGATTTTTCTTGATGTTTAACAAAGTACAACTCATTTCTAATGTTATCCATTTAAACGGTCTTCCGAAATGTTTGCATAGTGTGGTGGAATTAAACCTCTTAGCCAGTTTCAAGATTCTTTTCTATATGACTTTATTATTCTACTAATATAATCTTAATAGATAAAAAAACAAAGTATACATCCAGTATTTCTCTTAACTTGAAATTTAATATTCAATTTTATTGTTATTATAATTGCAAAACGATACCTTTCGATATGATTAGTAATATATGCATGGTAAAAGACAATTCTCTTCATACATTGTCATACACATTCAGGAAACGTCAAACATGGATATTACTAAAAAAATGATCGACTTTTTTGTAATGAATTTACTAGGTGCACTGCATGTGCAAACGCTTCATTTACAATTTTCGTAAGTATTTTCATTTCAACAGGCTCAGGTATTTTCAGCGCACGGTTTCTCTTGCAAAGGTATATAATGAACTACTTAAATATTGCTCCAGTCTAATTGATTAAAATGTCCATGGGATACAACGAACATTTAAAAATATTAGTTTTTCAAGTTCATTTTTTCTTATCTAGTATTTGGCGGTTCTATGATATAGGTATTAAAATGCATGACCAGTTTATATAAGGTTACTTATGTTAGTTGGGTTCGCGTTGCTCAGTCATTTGTTTTCTTTGTTCGGTTTTGTAGTATGTTGTTTGTCTTTTTGTCGTTTTTCGTTTTTTTGCAATGGCATTGTCCGTTCTTTTTCGACTTATGCGTTTAAATGTCCCTTTAGTAACTCTATTTTACATAAACTATGTATGTTATATATCTGTTACAAAGATATGGATACATAGAATGCAAATATTTATTAAACATACTCTTGAAATAACTCCTTAGTACACAATTTAGAAATTCTACTTTTATGATGGAATTACAAATTTCATTTCAAATAATATTTACGAGTAGCACGTGGCAAAAGAACCCTCAACCGGAATATGTAATAACACGTAACATAACAAAGGAACGGTAATAGTTGTTATAAAAAAAGAAACTGTTTAAAATACAGGTAGTTAGATGAATATATACGGAGTGATGCATAGATATTTAGATAAAATATGACTATTTAGAAACGTAGTTTTTTTGTTTGTACATTTCCCTTCAAATATAATTCTGAAATAGAAGGGGACCATAGGCGGATTCAAGGGGGCCCTGGGGGGCCCGCCCCCCCCCCCCTTTCGTGGGAAAAATTTGGTTGATTATATAGGGAATCACTGAGCATGACTGGAGCGGGCCCCCCCTTAGGTCAGTCAACGGGCCCCCCCTTATGAAAAGTTCTGGATCCGCCACTGGGGACCCTTTAGTTGCTTCACTAGAGAATTTAGATTTAAACATATATATGAAGTAATGAAGGATCGCTTTGGGTACCATGTGCCAAAAATGTGTACAAAAATACAGACATCCAAGGAAAATTAAATAAAAACGGAGAAGTTCATTTTATCTGAAAAATCAATTTTGACTCTCAACCAACGAAACGAATTGAAAGAACTGTCATATTCCAACTTGGTACAGGCATTTTCCAAAGTAAATGGTTTGTTATACCTGGTTTTATAGTAGTGTAACTTGTATGACAGTTGTGTATAATTTCATTATATTGACAAAAGTGGGTAACCAATCTAAGCAGTCATAAATGGTTGATGTGACAATAATTTGGATATAACAATATATATATGTATAGCCAAAATCGTATAGCTTGCCTTGTGGTATTGGTTTTGCTCATTTGTAAAGACCGTACAGTGACCTAAAGTTGCTAACATCTCTTTTATGTGGTCTCTGGTGGAAAGGTCTCTCTTTTGCAATCATACCACATTATTTCTACATAAGGAAATGCCTGTACCAAGTCAGCAATGTGACAGTTGTTTTCCATTCGTTTGATGTGTTTTAGTTTTTGATTTTGCCATTTGATGGGAGACTTTCCGTTTTGAATTTTCCTTGGAGTTTGGAATTTTTGTTGTTTTACTTTTTTCTCAATTTTAAATGTTTAGATGTAGCAGACACGTTTTTGGTTGAATCAAACGTTTAAAGGAAACACACATAAAACATTGATAACTTAAAATGGTATTATAATAGTTGTGTCTTACAGAAGTTTGGTTCATCATCATCCTTCTTAAAGTTTATTTCGTGTAAAGTTTGGTTGATCATGAAGTTGATTCTTTTCAGGGTAATACGCATTTATAAATAACATGTTCTATTGTCAGTTACGCTGGTCGTATAGTTTGATCAAAGTAGACTTCATTAACTGTGATTCTTGAATGATGATCACAAAAACACATTTTCCAAAAAAAGATGAACACAACATTTACATACATATATATAAGAACTTAACATAATTTTTCTAGGATGTTTTGTTCATTAATCTTTCATCTGATATCATGCTATCGGTCTTATTAAGATAAAGTGAATAAGATTGAAGGAAACATCAGCTATTATATCTATAAGAAACATCAGAAAAGATGACTGTTGTTAAGGCTCCTTAAAAACCTTTTGATAGATTCAAAGTAGATTTAAAAAAAAAATATATAAACAACGGACGTCAAACAAAGAGTAATAAAACAAATCTTCCACTGGATCATTTGATCAAATGATATATAAAAAGGAAAATTTACTAGCCTAATTAGTCATTGCTATGAACATATATAATAATTTTTAGTTGAATATGTTTTGAATTTTCATGTACAAAACGATTTAATCTCATCCGTTTTGTTATCATCTGTTGACTACATATCATTTATTATTTCTGTTTTAAGATAAAATCATATTCATGCTAAAAAATATCAACATTCAAATATCACCTAAAGCCACAGAAAACTTAGAAGACGGAAACGACTTTTCAGGTATTTTTTGCCATATGTAAAAATAATTGCATCAATGCAGTGAATTCATGAATACGCTGTAGCATGGCTTATTACCTATATTGTATCTTAAAAGATTTGTCTTAGGATATTTTACAGAACATTACATTTTGCAGGGAAACTGATTCTTAGTATGAGACTATATATAATTTCAGAAGCACTAACATTAATGACTTTAGAATTGGAAAAAAAAAATCCCTGCTGTTATGTGTGTGGTGTCAATAATTTCAAAATTACAAAAACGTATGCGTTCAAACATGCAATATTGAGATTTGTTCGTCCAAACACGTCTATTCATGGTTGTTTCCTTTAACGCATTTCTTTGTAACCAACAAAAATATCGAACTTATTATTTTGATTATTCATTGTATCCTCATTATATTTTTAAATAATTGCATGCTGATTTAAAATATGAACGTGACGTAAATGTTAGACTCACATTAGATATGTTGTTGAATTCCTAAATGATGTTAAAATCTATATCAAGTTAATTCCATTATATAATATATATAGTTATATTTGTTCAAAAAATAAATAACAAAGCTATTGCATTTATTCATAACAGACAGAGAAACAAAATGCTTCGTTCGGTGGACACTTTCTACTCCAAGTTGCTGGACAGTAGATGAAATCAAACGCAAACTGCAGAGCGTAACAAATTTGTCTGATTTCAGGATACAGTTCGTTTATACTGGTTCGCTAGTTATCGAAACAACAATTTCAAAAATAATTGTTTACAATGCTGATGCTTTGTCTGCTGATATTCTGTCATTTTTAGAAACATTTTGCAAAGTTACGGAGATAAATACAACCATAGGCACTCTTGTTGATGTAGAAATATTCGTAACTGATGTAACGTTGGCAGGTGAGTTGAACAAAATTCGTTTCATCGCTGTCATGGAAAAAACATATAAGGATCATATTTATAGAATAACTTATCAAAGAATTCAAATTTAGAAAATTATTCTACGAGTGACCGAACAAGCGCATGATTTAATTATGAGAGTTGCTCAAACTCGAGTTGAATAATTCTTGGATTAGTTATTCTTTTTTTTTACATTTGGCATTTACTTTTTGAAGTAAATAACTTATGAAATGGAAGGAACAATGTCTTTTTTTACGCATTCCCAATTATTTTGATGCCATTGTTGTATGACGTCAGAGCAGTGAAATTATCAGAGATTTTTGTTCACATGTGAATTTATCGGTTTTCATTTCACTGGGAAATCACAGTTAATAAGTAATTACAACCATGTTTTTTGACTATTAACTACACCAGATTTTTAAAACATTTGAAAGTATTCGAGGTCGATTAGGTTGTTGTATAAATTCGCTGTTTAAACAAAATGAATTACAATTTGTACCATTTTGTCAGTTTTATTATGTGTGTCAGTACACCTAACACGAATAATCACCAAAGAAATCATACGTTACAAAAAGACTCTGCGCAAATGTTACATTTAACTAGTAAGTAATTAGCAATTTCAGTATCAGTGGTTAGCAAAGGATATCCCACAAAAAAAAAAAAAAAAAAATTAATGCATCAATAATTAAAAATAAATAATAATCAAAAATTGAAAAACTTAATAATCTTCTTTCAGAAATCCCTGGTACAGAGAAATCAGGATCATCTGTTGGAAATTGTAATACTTGTTATAACAGAAATGTTGCAAATGAGGCATATGAATGGTGCATTAACTGTCAGGAACTGTATTGCAATATATGTACATCAATTCATAGGGCTACAACATGTTCAGCCAAACATACTATTATCTCTGTAAATAGTACGTCTAAACATTTTCCACCAAATATCCATTTCAAAACTGAATGCAAAAAACATAGTCAAAATTTAGACTTTTATTGTAACACCCATGAAAAGATTGTTTGCATCGTTTGCGTGAGACTGAATCATTTAAAGTGTGTGGATATCGTCTCTGTTGAAAAGGCTTCACTAAACATAAAATCTTCATTTCGGCTTACAGTTATCGACACAGTAATTAGGAGACTAGAATCAGATATAGACGATGTTCTTTCAGGTTTACTACACCATGAACGAAAACGTAACATTACAAAACTTGACTTAGAAGCTAAGATTTTAAATATATTCAAAAAGTCTGTGTCCATGGAAGAAGCAGAAGTCAAAGTTAAACCCTTAACTGGTTTAATATTTATATATGAACTTACAGAAAATGCCTATATACAACTTACAAAAATACGAAATAAGGTTTCCGAGATTAATGCCAATATATACAAAATTAACAAATATTGTACTGAAAGTCAAACATTTATAGCAATTCATAAACTAAACAAAGACATCTCTGAAGTCGAAAAGATATTCAAAGCGACCTTTGATCAATTAACAGAACATAATCTTCTCTTAGAATTAATTGACAAATATGAGTTGCAGTACAGTATTAAAAGATATGAAACATTACAGTCGAAACCAATTGATCAAGCAGGTGCTCAAGTCTGTGTTTCTGATATTGAACACATCGGAATTTTACCAACATCATCATTTGTTGTGAACGGAATAGATTTAAACGCACCGGCAAGGATAACAATTTTAGGAGAACGTATACTTATTGTCCATAAGGATAAAATCATTGTTCAAAATATCAGTGGTTATTTTGAATATGATATAACACTCCTATAGTACAGCTAGTGATATTGCTGTTATAAATGGTAAAAATGTAGTCGTATTGCTACATAATTCTATTGAAAAAGTTACCATTATGAACAAACAAACTGAAACTGTTAGAAAACATCCTTCAGAAAAATATCGTGCGTTATCGTACTTTGGTAAATATTTGTTTGTACTCAGCAATTTTGTAATCCATATCATGGATCTCTCTGGAAATATTGTAAAATCTTATCAGAATACCGAAACATATCAGGATAATAATTATGATCCCTGCATAGTTGCACATGATGATCAATTGTTCATCTTATCTTGTTCTGTAGAAAGTCATCTTCAGTGTTTTGATCTAAATGGCACACGGCTATGGCACTCAATATTCAAAAATATGAATCTTGGTGTACAGATGACAATAGACAGTAAAGGTAATTTGTTTATCCCCTGTTACTACGATGGAAGCATAAGAGTTCTTAACATCCGGGATCGGTTTTGTAAACTGATGCTCACTGAGACAACGGAATTTAAATCCCCGAGGGCACTGTATTTCGATAAAGAAAACTGTCGTATTGTCGCTTTGCACGGGTCTCATATGTGCACCGTGTTTGACGTCTCTTATCGATATATGTAGTGTATGGTTTTAAATAAGAAAAAAGGACAATATCATCTAAATAGTAAAGCATTCAATGTGCTTGTATAAACCTTTTTTAATTTTAAAACAATATAGTTTGTGAACATATCTATATTGAAGAAATTTGATGCTTGATGATAGAAATATAGCTTAAGAACAGATTCAATACCTTAAATTACTATTTACTTAAATCAAGGTTGTGTAGGTTTGGCGACTTTATAAGGACATATTTATGAAAGCAGTGGCGATATTGAATAATTAATACATTAGTTAAAAGAAGTCCAAAAATACTTTTTTTTTAATTTCAAAATTATATTATTACTTAACTGACAATTTACAAAAAAGTATCATTTTAAATTGAACAATATTCAAACACTCAATGTTAGTTGTTATAAGTCCAATCATGAAAAATATTTTCGTTTCTATCAATAACATTATTATTTATGTTAACATAACCCCATTGAACCAAAGTACGTGCATTGTAAGAGGTAGTTCTCACTTTTTATTCCCACTTAGATGGACTGTTATTAAAATGTAAATTTACATGAAATGAATGTTTGAGAGGCAGCTTGCTAATAAACATTACAAAAAACACTAATTTCATCTCATATGCATATAATTAAAATATTTTTTAATGATATTCTTGAACTGTTTGCCAAATAAACCTATACCGAATTCATAAGTATGTTAGTTTGGGGAGGTTTTTAGGACGAGATCTTCGGTACAATTTGTTATATGAACTGACGTCCTTTTTGGCTGAACTAGATATAAGCCATTGACGCTTTATCACTGACAACCGTATGCTTTCTTCATGAGATGTTTTTTTTATTTTCCTTGATTTGATTTTGCTCGGTTGTACCTCAGTATTGTACTTTTTGTTTGTTGAGGTTTTGTACGTATTTGTTTTTTGTTTTATTTTTAACATTTTAATATTTTGAAAAGAAATAGATGTGTATAATGCCTTATCTTAAATGAGTAAATGACTTGAAGAGCATAATAATGTAGTTTAGTTAATACGCTGGTATACAAATTGTTAGGAAATTTATTAGTTTTGTAAATCGGTGATTTAAGTTCTAAAAATAAAAATCAATGATAACACATTTCAGGAATACATGATTTACTTTTGTGCAAGAAACATAACCAACGTACTTGCAATATTGGATTAATACATAATCAGTTTGCGATTTACCTTCAATTTAATATCAATAATGCAATTGAAAGGCAACGTAAGTTTTTATAACGATATTCAAATCTCATAAATCCCTTAAGAAGAAAAAGAATTAAAGAAAGCGATGCAGGGTACATTGACAGGGTAAGCGTGTTCTGTTGTGCATACATCCCCTCTATGCATATCCACACTCAGTCAATGAATCAGGTATAGGACACATTCGGTGATTTAACAGATTAGATTTGATTTAATTTGATTTTTGTGTGTTTTAACGCCATTTGTAAGCACCGCTTTTTGGCTATTTCGTGGCGGCCAGTTTTTATTGGTGGAGGAAGCCATAGTGCCAGGAGAAAACCACCGACCTTCGATAGGAAAACTGACAATCCTAGTCAATTAAGATTTGAGTCGAGTGCACCCGCACGAGCGGGGTTCGAACTCACAACCTCAGTGTTGACTGGCTAGTGATTACAGTAGTAACTACTTAGACCACTCAGCCACTGAGGCCCCTAACAGATTAGACGACTGTTGACTATTCTATTGTCTCATGATTAAAGACCTAAGATTAATTTAGGGTTGAGACAATGACTCATCATATCGGTCAGCTCATCTATGATTAACGATTCAAGTCGTTTTCCCGCTTAACTGTGTTGGAGCAGTTGTTGTGTAATGAACACACTACTACTATAAAGTCAGTATAGTGTGAAAATCCATGTATTATATGATATATATATATACCACAAACGATGGGGCAGGAGGTATGTTAATGTAGGGACGATGACAGAAACATACATAGTATTGGAACATGTGGAAGACACAACTTTTAAAGACTAAATTCTTAAATGATCTCATGTTATACTTTAAGATCGTTGGGTGAAAAACAAATACCATGTTGCAACTTAGATATTATAATTCAAGCCGAAGTCGTGACTGTGAAAGGAGAAATCTTGGAAATAATATGGAATGATATTTAAATACATTTCACAATCCACGGGTAAGGGGTCTACAAATTATTTTACCATATTTAGATAAGGAGACATGGAGATGTGGTATGATTGCCAATGGGATTACTATCCATCAGAGACTAAATGTTACCGTACGCCCTTCACCAAAAAAAAAAAAAAAAAAAAGAAAAAAAGAAAAAACCGAAACCCACACCGTATATTAAACTATAAAAAAAAGCCCCGTTGGTCGTTGTAAAATATCTGTGTCACATGCTACACGGATATGTTCCATTTGTCACAGCCACATTACTGCCTTCCATTCCTTATGTATTTCTATCACTGAATGTGACTTGTCACCAGATTTGTACATGACATTAACAACATTACCTGTGACATATATGGAGTCAGATTAACTCTCTCCCCATACTACCAGAGTTCATATCGTGGTTGTTTATGGTGTGTGTGATGATCAATATCTAGTTTTCTGCATTGTGTATTGTGGGTTGTTATTGGACTTTAACTTTATATACATATATCAAATAAAAAAAACTCCGTGACCCATACTTTATAATATATTTGAATAAAGGAAGGTAAAAGGTACATTTTGGCAAAGTATAAGAAAATTCTATCTGCAGAAATATATAGTGACAACCAACCTTAAATGAAGTAGTGGAGAGTTGGAAAGTGAATAGAGTCGTACTAAAAAGATAAACAGACTTAATAACTAACATTTCATCAATTTGAATGACCAGTAAATAAAATGTTTAAAGATGAAAAATGTGCTTGTATTCATCTCTTATAATAACAGGCTAAAATAATATCAAAATGCAACTCTTCAGGTACAACCTTTTTTGTTTTCTCACTTTCAAGTTATGCACACATATGTCTGAAATTATTTCAGCAGAATAACACATTTCAATTTTAGGTTGAACGATTTTGAAAAGAAATAGTTCTTTTTTTATTCGATCATGATATAGCCCTTTGACAAATTTCGAAATTCGGACAGCGCCAGACGTTGATATATTTTGTTCGATTGTTTATGATCTTGCTGTTATTGCAAAATGTATTATTCATAATAAGGATATTAGCCATAACCGTAACCACCGTGTCTTTTTAACTGATGTATTTTATAAGATTGTTATTCATACCTCAAATGTCTTCATGTGTATCAGAATTTCAGTAGCTGAGAGTTTGAAACATTTTATCAATTTTCTAATTTTCAATAAATTGTGCAATTCTTCATCCCTTTATGAAACCAGTTAACACGATACGTCGAGATCTCGCACTAGAAGATACGTATCGGAGTGTGTGGATATTATTTGGTGTTTTCCGGGATTCTGGTTCACGGGTTGTTAGCTTTAAAAAGATTATACTACTTATATATTGATAAATTGTTATATCTTTTATTATGATGGATGGTTCATTCATTCAATTATTAATTATAAGTTGTCGTTTTTATCTCCGTTTCTATCATTTTCATGCAAAATACGAGAAGACTTTATTCTGTTTTGCTCTCTTATTTTGAAATTAAATATGTTTATTTTTAAGATTCTAAGAAATACAAACAAACAATCACAGAAAATTTGATGTGGTTACAAATTAAAAAAAATAATTAAATAAAGTATATGACTTCCTCTTTATTTGATCTGGAATTAAAGATTATCGATGGTATTTAAACGAGAAGGTGTTTCTCAGCTTAGATCTCACCGAAAGGCAATAGCCCTGAGATGATATGTTGCCAAGAAACATCCTCTAGTTTCAAATCCTATTGATAATCTGTTAATCACTTTTTTGCCTATGCCGTCGTTGATGTTTACATTGACGACGGCGCGTGCGCCCTTAGTTTCTAGCGATAAATTTCTTTTATCTCAAGCGAATAGCATGCTATGAAAAATTAACACAAAAAATGAAAAATACACAAAATAGCGATAAAAGAGGCTAATAGAGTCCCAAACTGACATTTTTAAAACGTACGAAAATCATGTTGTACAAATGTTGTACAAACATGCAAGTCATGGCTGGCTTAAGGGTATCGTGGAGTGCATCGAAAACATTGAGATGGTCGATTGTTCATCCCTTGCCATAATGCTTACATTTTAAAGCTATCTATCGGTATGAAAATTTTGTCGTATTTCCCCACATTTTAAACAGACGAGACTACAATTTAAACTATCAGTCAAAATAATAGAATTTTATGCGACTGTCGTACAAGTGAGAGGTTTTTCTAGCTATGAAACCAGATTAAATCAATCTTTTTTTACACAAGGAGATGCCGATACCAAGTCAAAGAATATGACAGTGGTTTTCCGTTCGTTTGATATGTTTGAGCTTTGAGTCATAAACGTCGGAAATATGCATCCTTTTTTGTCAGGCGTACGTTCAATTGTTTTATTGTGTTTAACTGGGTTATTAAAAATGTTTACAGAAAACCCGGAGTCCAAGGTAAATACAAAAGGGGAATTCCTTAAAACATCACAAAATCAAACGTTCGAAAAAACAACTAACAGAACGAATGAAAAAACAACTGTCATATTCCTGACTTGGTACCAGAATTTCCGAATAAAATGGTGGGTTAACCCTGGTTTTATAGCTAGCTAAACCTCCCACTTGTATGACAGTTGTTTATAGTTCCGTTATTTTAATAAAATTGGTTGAGAAGCCCAAACAAATATTGTTGGTTAGCGTGACAATAATTGGGATCCAGCATTTGAAACTGTGCAAACATACATCACAGACAGACAAGCACAACTGACTTAAAAAATCAAACAAACATACACAAAACTTTAAATTTACTCTAGCAGAGTTGTGGTAGGACTAAAAAGTTTCCGTAATTGTTTACTGTTTCCTAGTTGTATAAAAAACTATTCGGAACACAAAGGTTTTTCTACCCCCAGGCATAAAGAGTAGAAAACAGCAGAAGGCCACCAATATTGTATTCAAGCTGTTGTGATTCATAGTTGAAATGTGACTTTAAAACAGAACATTTTTTAGAAAGAATAAAAGCAGTATTTTTCTTTTAACAATGTAATAAGGACTGAATAAAACGCATCATAATGACTTTACCAATATGAGTATGTGTGTTTAAACGAAACATTATTTTACAGTTGTGCTTTAAGTATTTATCATATTGCTATTTCTAAGTTTTGTACTATTCCTGTACTCAATTTTATTCTTTAACAGTTGTATGTATGTGCCTTTTACTAGTCTTTTGATCAATATTAAAAGTGTGTGGGCTAAGTTTAACCTTTCCACATATGCATGTGCTTGTTCCAAGTAAGGCACCTTTTAAGTGGCTGTTTCTAAACATATTGCATTGCTTTCCCATTTGGAAAATATATTTTGGATGGAAGATCTTTAATATATTTTTGTTAAATTGTTTGCAACTTGTTTATACTGTGGACAACGTAGATCTTACAATAAGTAAATCTAGTCGTCTTTTAATGACGATTATAGCATTTGCCGAGCCGATAACCAGATGTCCTGTTGTCATTTTTGTCGATGTGGTGCTTGATTGTGTACATATACCAAACATCCACTCTTATTCCAGTTCATACTTTTGGAAAATAAATTATGTTCATATTGTTAAAAGTATATCAATTGAACATGTTTACACTTTTTGTAAAAGAATGTTATCATCTATTTAGTCTTGACAAACATTACTTTAAAACTTTGTTGTCTTACTATGTGTAGTAACACAATATTTGTCTTTAAGAAATAACTTTATCATCCAATTCTACAAACATTTATCAAATACATCATGTACTTGTTTACAGAACAAAACAATTGTTGGTTTCAATATGTGATATTTCTACAAAGTTTTTGCTGACCCTTTTTTAGAATTCCAAAATAAAAATATTTATATGCAATAAGACATACTTCCATACAATTGGTAAATTTCGGAGCCTGGGATTTCGTTACCGTAAATTGCTTTGTACTTTATCTTTTCATAGGGACAAATATTTTGAAGGTTTTTGCTATACCTGTAGAATTC